GAAGTGCAGGACACGGGGGGCCCCAATCAGCTGCCCCCCCATCTGCTTCTCCAGCTGGATCACCTCCTGCCAGGGCCAAGTGCCAGGTCAGCTGGGCACCCCCCAGGGCACGGCTCAGCGACCTGCTCCAAAACCCCTCTGTCCCAGCGCCCCCACCCTCCACTACCCCGCGGGGCTGGGGCAGAGCAGCTGGAGGCACCCCCGCCCTGCTGCCCGCCGGCCGTCCTGCCCGGGCACCTTGAGGACGTCCTGGGTGTCGCTGAGGCAGTACACGCGGATGTTGTACTCCAGGGAGCTGCAGGAGGCGGGCGCGAAGAGCACCAGCTTGAGGCGCTTGGAGGCCGCCATGCTGAGCGACTCGCCGACCAGGGCGAAGCGGCCCAGCTGCTCCGTGAAGACGTAGCAGGCCTGCGGCTCCAGCTGGCAGTAGTACAGCTCGGAGGCCGGCTCCTCGCCCAGGTGCAGCACGTCCTGCAGGAGAGCCCAGCTGGGACCGGGACCGGGACCGGGACCGGGACCGGGACCGGGACCGGGCAGGAGGCAGCCGCCCTGCGCCCTGCCGAGAGCCAGGACCAGCCGGGCGGGCGCCTGCCCATCCCCACGGGGGCTCTGGGCTGGGACCCCGGGCCGCCTGCCTGGGGATGGGGGTGCCCTCAAGCTGCAGTCAACCCCTTGGCACAACAACAAGGCCAATTGCCTGGAGGCACCATGAGCAAATCCCCCCAGCCTGCACCGCTCTGACCAGGGGTCAAATCCCCTCCTTGTCCCAAGGCAGCATGGGGCTGAGCCAGAGCGCAGGCGCAGGCCCCTCTAGCCAGGGCCCTCGGGGGCGAGTCCCAGCAGGAGCAATGGCACAGCCCAGCCATAGCCCCAACCTGGCACCCAGAGCTGCCGAGGAAGGGGATGAAGCCCCTGGCAGCAACAGGAGGGGGGAAATTCAGCCTCCAGCGAAGCCCAGAAGCTGGGACGCAGCAGGCCCCTCCGCTCGCCCTGCAACCAGCTGCCCGCGTCCCCTCTGCCCCCAGCCCAGCTGCCCTGTCCGGAGCCCCTGCATGCACGGATCCTGGCTCCTCCACTCCTGCCTCATCCAAGCTGGGTTGGAGATCTGTCCTGTCTTCGGCTGCTGGGCTCGGTGCCCTGCACCTGCCGGGAGAGCTCACGATCTCCCTGCAACCGGGTTGGAGGCTGGGGCAGCTCCTGGCCTCCCCACTGCTGCTCCTCGCCACACTCCCCAGGCCCGGCTGCCCCGCACGGTCCCTGCAGCGCTGGCAGCCCGGGTGATGGGGCAAACAGGGGCATGTTCTCCCAGAGCCGACTGAAGATTGAAACTGGCTTCGCTGCAACTTGAAGCCATTGGGAGGGGGGAGGAGAACAGTTCTCCCCACTCTGGATGGCAGCAAGATGAGCAACTTCATCCTCTCCCACAAAGCCCGGTAACACCGCAGCCGCCTGCCTCCGACCCGGCCACGCTCTGCTCGCCCTCCACGAGAGGCAGGCCCCTCGCCCTGCGCCCAGCCCACCGCTCACCTCCCAGGAGCCCTCGCACGACTGCTTCTTCAGGCGGATGCTCCAGTTCTCGGCGCTGGCCTCCACGCAGTGGCCCATGGCCAGGATGACGGGGCGCGTGAGCAGCACGCCTGGGGGGCCGCAGCTCACGATGGGGCTCAGCAGGGTCTGGCAGCCGGCCAGGGGCAGCCTCGGGGACAGAGGGCAGAGGGTGAGCCGGGCGCTGGGCCCGTCACCGCCTGCCACGGCTGCCACGGCAGGCCGGGCACTCACCTCACGTCCTCCTGCTTGTGCAGCGTCAGGTAAACCTCGTAGATCTTGCCCCGGGGGATGGCATCGGGCGGGATGAGCAGGCTGATCCCTAGAGCGGGTGGGGGACACTGTTAGCAGCCCCGCAGCACAGCCCCACACCCCAGGGACCCCCTGCCCTCAAGTTGCAGCCCTGCCTGCCTGGCCCCCCATGCGCAGACAAGACCCCCCTCAGCGCACCCACCCCACCCAGCACACGGGAGCAGGGCACAGCTCCTTGCACACGCGGCTCTCATGGTACGCGTGGCTCCTGCCCCCGTGCATGGGAGCAGGCCTGCACCACGACCCGGCCAGGCTCCCACCAACACACCTGGTGCGGAGCCCTACCCGTGTTGGGGATCATGAGCCGGCCCCCCAGGAAGTTGAAGGTGCCATAGGCCACGTTGGCGGTGCCGCGGGGCAGGGAGCGGAAGCAGCTCTGGGTGGAGAGCCGCGTCACGAAGTCCACGCCCTCGGCGCTGGGCGAGCTGTGGTGCAGCGTGTGGCGCCCGGCGCCCAGCGCGCTCAGCAGGTGCCCGTTGCTCAGCTGGAACTTGCCGGGCCCATCCTGGCGCGGGCACAGCGAGCCCTGGTAGGTCATGGTGGTGGTGCTGAGGTCGGGCTGGATGGTGAGCAGGTTGGAGTTGTCTGCGGCAGAGAAGGAGGCCGGCGGGAGCTGTTGCGGGCCGGCCATGTGGGGGAGCCTGGGGTGGGGGAGCCCCTGGCTGCCCCCTGACCCCCACTCCCAGCATGGGGTGCAGGGCACTGGGTCTGGTGCCACCCACCTGCCTTGCTGGGCTTGATGCTGACGGGCTGGAAGCCGGCAGTGAGGATGGAGGAGTCGGCCACGTCGGCGTCCAGCCCCTCCTTCTTGCGGCAGTACACCAGGACGCCCACCAGCAGCAGCAGCACCAGGCACACTGCCACGGCAATCAGCCCCACGTACAGCGCCACGTCCTCGGGGCCCGAGGCGGCTGGGCCGCAGTGGGAGATGGAGCCGTGAGCCCCCGCCCTGGCCAGCAAAGCCCGCAGCGGAGTAGGATGACGGGGCCCCGCAGAGCCCACCT